CCGACACGCCGGTGCTCACAAACACCACCCAGCACTCGCAATCACGGAAACCAAGCACACACAGCACAAAAACAGTCCACACCTTTTCTCTGGAAGAAATCATGGGAATAAATTCTTCAGCAAAGGTTTTCACTGTGCCTTCAACTCCAGCCTGTTAGAGGCCAAATGTTGAGTGGCTGACGCAGAGGCTGACACCCCCCGAGCCCCCCATGCCTTCCCTTCCTCACCCCCGCCCGGCAGCAGCACCCGGGCCGCTGTGCTGGGATTGCTGGGATTGCTGGGGCTGCAATGGGCAGGAGCAGGCAGGGGATGCCCACACCCATTGCCAGACTCATCGGGGGGATTTGGGGGCGCTGGTGAGGGGGAAGGCACTGCAGTATCTACATGGATCCTGCAGCTGGATGAGGAGCAGGAGGAAGCACAGGTGAAACTGTTCTTGTGTGGAGAAACAGAGCATGGGGCTGGGCATTCCTGGCTCAGTGCATCCCCAGCTCCTCCTGCAGCTGATGCCCCAGCCCAGGGCTCAGGACAGGCCATAGTTGGCCTTCCAAAGAGGAGAATGCCTTTCTCCAGGTCAGAGGATATCACCCTATTAATAGCTGCTGACATGCCGGGCTGGAGATTGTTTGTCAGCCTGGGGACAGGCACGGAGCTGGGCTGGAGCAGCTCTCCCACAAAGGGCACAGAGAGCATCCTGGGCACCGTGCCCATGCTCTGCCAAGGTGGGGTTTAATGTCACAAAGCAATGTTTTGGGATCCTCAAGTATCTCAGTGATGCAGCCACATCCTGGGAAATGCTCTTTGCTCTCTCCCGGGGTGCTGAGCAGGGCCAGGCTAAGCAAGGGGGCAGGAGCAGCATCAGAAACATTCCAGGGAGGTCTGAGTAATTCTGGTGCCTTTTGCAACACAGGGGGCAATGACCAGGCTGGCAGAGGCTGAATCCAGAGGCTCCATAGGCTGCCTCTCTGCTGCTGGGAGGGAGCCAGGCTGGGAGCAGCTGCTGCCCCCACAGCTCCAAGGGAAAGGATGGGGCTCCCAGTTTGGTTCTTGGAGTGTTTGTATAACTCAAGCCCCAGAAATAGAGCTGAAGGAATCTGGTCCCCCACTGCTGAGGGGCTGCTGTGGGAACAGAGTGCAGCTGAGTTAGCAGCAGGGTGCCATTCACAGGCACACACTGCTGAAGCCAGCGCTGCACCGAGAGCTGAGGCACCTCCCTGGGAAAACGTGGGAGTGCTTTGTGCCAGAGTCAGGCCCTGGTCCCCTGTGAGCCATCACAGCCTCGAGCCAGGGATCAGGGCACGGCGTTTCTCTGGCTGGGGAAGCTCCTGGCTCCTGCTGGCATGCCTTGGGCTCGCTGCAGCTGCTGCCAGCTCGCCCTGACACGTGGCAGCTGCATGCCCACTGCTCCAGGGACCTCCTTGCAACAGCCCCCTGCCATGGCACTGCCCTGACCCTCCCTGCACAGGCATCTGAATGCCCAGGGCACGGGGAAGCCTCCCCAGCTGCCCATGCCCACACCACCCATCACCTCCAACAGCTCTCCAGTGCTCCCACTGGGCATGGGGCTGGCCCTGTGCCCCATCCCAGTCTTGTCCCTGCTCTGGTCCCTTCTCCAGGTCACTGTATATGGGAAAAACACCCTAATGAACAACTTGAATAACAAAAACAGGCAGGGAACATCTGCCCAGAGACCTGCTGCCTGCAAGAGGGAGGACAAACCCCTCCTCCTAAACCTGCAGGACACATCTGTGCTCCCTGAGCTGAGGCTTCACAACCAGCCAGGGGCTACCAAAGCAGAACACAGCCTCAGGAGCTCCTGCACAGGCAGGAGGGTTTGTCTCTGACTGCTGCTGCATTTGTAAGGAAAAGGTCATAAAAACATCATTGCAATTGGCTGAGTCATCAATCTACAGCAGAAACTCTGTCTGAAGAGAGCTGGAGAAGATCTGCACAGGAGGAATTCAATGTGCCTGGTTGGTGTTACACGGGGCTGGGAATGCTCTGGGAACGGGGAGCCCTGTGGGCTCTCTAGGTACAGGCACCTGGTGCCAAATCCCTTGTGCTTGGCATGGGCAGTGGGAACAGTTTGGGAAGATAACCCCCACGGAGCTGAGATTTACTCCTCTCAAATGACCCAAGCATGGCAGATCCCTGGTGGCACATGCCCAGCTGGAACAGGCACCACTGCCCCCTGCCCTGCCATGGGGACAGCCCCATATCCCCCCAGGGGAACAGCTCCTGTGTGCTTTCAGCAGGGCAGGGCAGGAGCAGCTGAGCCTGGCTGCTCCTGGAGCAGTGAAACAGGGCTGCTGCCCAGGGCACAGCTCAGGCCAGGCATGGCACTGCCCAGCCTGGGATCCCCCTGGGCAGCATCACCCCAAAGCTCTGGTGATGTCCCTGCCTTGCCAGGCTCCCCTCCTGCCATGGAGGCTCCTGGAGGCCTCTGGGCAGCAGCAGCCCCAGCTGGAGATGCTGATGCTGCTCCCACACTGGCAGAAAGCTGAGAACCATCCCTGGGAGAGGAAAGGGAAAAGGAGGAGCAGGTCAGAGGCTGCTGCAGTGACCATGGCAGAGCATGGGGACCAGGGGAGAGAAAATGGAGGGCAGAGCTGCTCCCATGTGGTGTCAGCTCATCTGCTGATGTAAGGATTTGCCCAGCTCTGCAGAGACAAGGTGCAGCAGAGGCTGTGGGAAGACAGTTCTGCTGCTTTGCTCACCTGCAAGATCAATTATGAGCCAGCCATCCTCCTCCTCCTCTTCCTCCACAAAGGGTTTGGGCTCCTCCAGGCCCTCTGGCGTGCTGCTGTCACTGAAGAAGAGGCTGGTGAGACGCTGAAACATGGTGGGGAGCAGTCCAGCAGGATGGGCAGGGAGATAGAGCTACTGCTGAGCACCAGCTCCCAGGCACCGACAGGAGAGATGGGCAGGGAGGGGAGAAAGAGCCCTCGGGGTGTCAGTGACAGAGAGGTTTGGCTGCCACAGGAATCACAGCTGAGCAGTGTGCAGTGCAGTTGAGAGGTGCTTCACTTGGCTTCAGTGCAAAGGCCTGGAACAGGGAGAGAAAAAGGAACAGTACATTAAAACAGGCTGGCAGTGTGGCCCTCTGCATCCCAGGGGCTCAGGTGGGATCAAGGGGACAGAAAAAGGTACCCCTGGCACTGATCTGTGCCAAGGCTGTCCCAGCTGGTGCTGTACCTGAAGCAGCCCTGGGTGCCTGTGCCCGGCAGTGCCCACCTGCACCAAGCCCCATCCTCATGGCTGGGGGGTCCCAGGAGACCCAGGCCCAGGAGCTGGCAGGGACAGAGCACACAGTGTCCCTAGGCCAGGCGGGGACATGCCAAGCTCCTGGCAGCAGGCAGGACGAGGACAGCACTGTCACAGAATCCCACACTGGTTTGGACTGGGAGGGACCTTGAAGTCCCATCTCATCCCACCCCCTGCCCTGGCAGGGACACCTCCCACTGTCCCAGGTGCTCCCAGCCCTGCCCAGCCTGGCCTTGGGCACTGCCAGGGACCCAGGGGCAGCCCCAGCTGCTCTGGGCATCCTGTGCCAGGGCCTGCCCACCCTCACAGGGAACAATTCCTTTCCAATATCCCATCTAACCCTGCCTGCTGGGAGTGGGAAACCATTCCCTGTGTCCTCTCACTCCAGGCTCCTTTTCAAAGTCCCTTTCCAGATCTCTCAGAGCCCCTTTAGGCAATGTAAGGAGCTCCAAGGTCTCCCTGGAGCCTCCTCTTCTCTGAGTGAATGCTCCCAGCTCTCCCAGCCTGTCCCAGAGCAGAGAGCTCCAGCCCTTGCAGCATCTTTGTGGCCTCTCCTGGACTCAGTGCAGCAGCTCCACATCCTTTTGGTGCTGGGTCCCCAGGGCTGGGGCAGCTCTGCAGGTGGGGTCTCACGTGAGAGGGGCAGAATCCCCCCCCCATCTGGTGCCCACGCTGTGGGGACAAACCCAGGATGCTGCTGCCTCTCTGGGCTGCCAGCACACGCTGTTGTTCACACCCAGCCTCTCATCCCAGCCCTCTGCGTGTCTCTGCTTCCCCTCTGCTCAGCTGATCACTGTTTTATGCCTGGTGTGAACAATGCCAATTTTATGATTGGCTTTTTGCAAATATTAAAGTGAATATTATATGTGTTGTGTTAGAAAGTTATGCTAGATTAATTCTCTTAAGTAGTGTGTTAAATATAGTTTTAAGTTATAAAAAATGTTAATTTAAGTTATTAAAATAGAAACTATGCTATGTAAGATACTTTTTTAAAGAAAGGACTGGCACCAGATAGCAGCCACAGGACATCCGAATCTTTCAGAGAAAAAGAATTTATTGCTCTCTTATCAGAAGAAACGAACTTCTTCCCACCTCAAAGGCGTTGTCAGGATTCAGAGGAAGAAGCTGACACTGCCCAGACAGAATCCTGTGTTTGAATGGAATTTATGCATTATGTGTGAGGTGTATGAATATGCAACAGGCTGTTGCTTTTAAGAGTTAATCCTTTGTTAATGTGGGTCCTTTTTTGGGCTTGTGCTGCCCAGAAAGAGATACCCAGACTATCCATAACTCTTTGTTTCTATTGTCTCATATTGTCCTAATTCAAATTGTCCAAATTATTATTATTATAATTTTATTACTATTTTTATAACCATTTTATTACTATTAAACTTTTAAAATTTTAAAAACAAGTGATTGGCGTTTTTCACACCTGGGAAAGCAGTGTGAGCTCCCCCCTCCAGCGTGGGGGGAGCTCAGCACTCATTCATTTCTTTGATGTCTGCCAAGCTCCTGGCACGGCACAGGAGGGGCAGCCAGAAGGTGCAGAGTATTATTTGTGTGTTATGTGTGTGCCTCTCAGTGCAGAGACATTAAAAGGGCATGAAAAGGCCACAAAATGCCAGCAGGAGCTCAGTGCAGTGAGAGGGCCAGCTGGGTGCTGCCGTGCTTGGTGAGGTGGGTGCATTGAAAGGGTCAGTCCCCACCTCAAGGCCAAGCCCAGGTCAGGACCAAGGGGCCATGGAGCTCGAGGGATGCTGCCCCCAGGGAATGTCCATGTGCTGCAGGCAGTGTGCCATGGGAAGGGTCCAGGGGCACCACGTGCCCATGCACACCCCAGCCCTCCAGCAGGAGAAGTCCTTGCTCAGCCCTGCTGCCCCCTGGCCTCCCCCGTCCCAGCACCCTGCCAAGCACTGCAGTTCTGGGCCTCAGGCACTCTTTTCATCACCCCTGTGGGATGGAAATGCCTTTTGCAGTCTCTCAGGTGCCTCGGGAGGAACAACATCTGCTCTACAACACAGAAAATGAGAAACCAAAGGAGCCTTCTTCCCCAGGGCTGGGATTCCCTGGAGCTCAGGGCTCTGCTCTCAGACACTTCCAGCTGCAGATGCAGTGATGGAGCATGAGGCAGCCCTGGCACAGCCAGCTCCCCCTCCCTGGCATGGCAGGGCACCGGGGGGACACCACCTGTCCCCAGAGCAGGTCCTGGTGACTCCCATTGCCCCAGGGGCACAAGGCAGCCCATGAGCCACAGCCCTGCCCCTGCAGAGCTCAGGGCTCCAGCCCAGCTCCCCAACCACTCTGGGATGGCTCAGCTGAGGCTCGTGGAGACTCACCAGGAGGAACAGGAGGTCAGGGAGGATGTGATGGTGTTCACAGGGGTTCTTGGATGAGGGCAGAGATGAGGATTTGACTCCATGTTTCAGAAGGCTGATTTATTATTTTATGATATATATTACATTAAAACTATGCTAAAAGATTAGAAGAAAGGATTTCATCAGAAGGCTGATTTATTATTTTATGATATATATTACATTAAAACTATACTAAAAGAATAGAAGAAAAGGTTCTCATCAGAGGGCTAGCTAATAATAAAAAGGAATGATAACAAAGGCTTGTGGCTCAGACAGAGTCTGAGCCAGCTGACTGTGATTGGCCATTAATTACAAACAACCACATGAGACCAATCACAGATACACCTGTTGCATTCCACAGCAGCAGATAACCATTGTTTACTATTTGTTCCTGAGGCCTCTCAGCTTCTCAGGAGGAAAAATCCTAAGAAAAGGATTTTTCAGAAAAGATGTCTGCAACAGGAGGAGACTCTGCTCTGTGTCCTGAGAGGGTCCCTGGCTTCCCCTGCAGGCACTGAGCAGGGAGGGGTTGGGCACTGAGGCATGGCAGAGGGGTTTCTCTGAGCCCACAGCCCCCAGGGCCAGGCTGGGACCCTGCAGTGCCATCAGTGAAATCAGCCAGACTCCCCCTGCCCCTGGATCACCAAAGCACATCCAGGTAAGTCAGGGAACACCCCACAGAGGGGCTGGTGCCCAGCTGGGCCCTGGCTGCACTCCGGTGTGCTCCACTCCCAGCTCACAGGGTGCCCACGTGCCCCAGGAGCAGCTCAGGCTGGCAAAGGCCACCCTGGCAGCCCCGAGCGTGGGGTGGCCTCAGCACCAGCCCAGCCTGGAAACCTGGCACCTGCCTGAGCACTCACCTAGGCAGCAAACACCTTTTAATATGACATGAATATTAATTATTTCAGATGTTTATTAAATATCTAATTGTGGCAGAAACTCCACAGCCCCCAGGCTCCTGCTGGTGATGTCCCAGAGTCTCCCATTGTTTGCTGCCCCCCAGGTGCCCGGGCAGGACAGGCTGGGGCAGGCACAGGGGTCACAGGGGGTCACAGGGGGGTCACTGGGGGGTCAGTGTGAGGCCAGCAGTGGGCTCATGGCTCATGTGCTCATGGAGCTGGGGCAGTGCCAGGCTGGCAGAAGGGCTGAGCCAAAGCTGAGCCCATGGCCAGCAGGGAGGTCCTCAGGGTGACACAGTGGGGCTGGGGACAGCAGGGTCCCCTGTGCTGTGCCCAAGCCCACCACACCAGGAGGACACTGGCAATGCTCTCAGTGTCACCTTTGTCCCTGCCCAGAACTGGATGTCACCCAACGGCAGAGCTGGGGACAGGGTCTGGCACACAGGGACAGGGGCAGAGAGTGGCCCCAGTTTGGCTGCCAGGGCAGGGTCACCCAGAAAAGCTCCCAAGCAGGCAGCACAGGGCAGGGCTGGGGCAGGCAGGGATTGTCCCTAAGACAGCCTGGAATGTCTGGCTGCACCGAGGGCTTCCCATGCTCTGCAGCCTTGGCTCTGGGAGCCCCTGCCAGGGGCTCACCCACCTGCAAGCTCAAGGTCAAATGGCCACAGACACAGTCAGAAACCTTTAGTTTTCCTTTGTTAAATGATGATATTTTAGTTTTCCTTTGTTAAATGACAATATTTTAGTTTTTCTTTGTTAAATGATGATAAAAGTTTTCACAGGACAACAGGAAAGCTGCTCCCCCAGGAACAGCTCAGAACACCTGCCTGCTCAGGGACTGCTCCCCAGAAAATCACAGCAAGGGAAGTGAGGTACCTGGATTCCTCGGGTCCACCACAACCCAGGGGTAATTTGTTTTTTCTGAGGACACAACAGACACCATTATTTTTGATTGTCCTCTCTCCCAAATGTAACTTCTTAAGTTAAGGCACAGGGGCTCACAGGCAGCTGCCATAGCTGTGGAGGAAGTGGGAGAGAATTAAAAGTTTCCCTAAGCGCAAAACTTGAAATGGATCATTTTAAAGGATCATTCCTCAAAGAACTCAAGTAAGTCTCCAGCTGTCACCCTCCCCAAGCCAGGGAATGTGGGGGCTGCAAGAGACTGTGGCGCGGGTGGGCTACAATGGCAGGACCTGCCCCAGGGTGGTGCCCAGGGAGCTGCAGGAAGCTCCTGGCAAAGCTTTCAGGACCAAACCTGCAGGGTGAAGGCAGGAGTGAGGCCAAAATGCAGGCAAGGGCCAAAATGAGCACTAATCCTCCCCCCCACTTTACCCTGTCTCTGAGAACCTCAGGTTGAAGCAGCAGAATGAAGCTGCAGGGCTCTCAGCAGCTGTGGGGCTGGCACTGAGCTGTGTGGGGCAGTCGGCTCAGGGTTTGGGGCACCCAGAGGGTCCTGGGCAGGCTGGGGGAGCTCACAGGAACCTCATGGAGCTCAGCCAGGCCAAGGGCAGGTCCTGCACCTGG